TATATATATATATTTATTAAGAGTGATTAAGAGGCATCCAGTCCTGAGTGTCTGCTGCCCTGAGTGTCTGCTGCCCTGAGTGTCTCCTGTCCTCTGCTTCCTGGAATGGGCTCCAGGCCCATTGTGATGCAGCATTTGATAAGTGGGATGGACACTAATCACATCTTCTACATCATGTCATGCGTATTATTTGATTTTTAAACCTTTGCTCAAACAAGAATTCTTTGAAGTCAGAATACATGAACCTGAAATGAACCTGACTCTTGTGTGGTTTAGTTGCATAATTAGTTGCAGAAAGTATATTTGTGTGTTGTCTGGTGTTTATGATTAATTCAAGTTAAGTCAGTAGCCTTCATTTCATAGTAAAATTCCTTAATGGCTTTCTTGGTGCCCTGAACTTGGTAAGGCAGGCATGTCTGTAATCTGGAAAATCCATTTTGACGGTGCTTACTTTTGTTTTCTTGATGCTGGACATGTGAATCTCTGTGTTCTCTCTTTCTGCTGTTTCTCTTGTAATGTGGCAGCAGTTTGCCAGCATTTTCATGTGGTTCCAGGTGGAAAACATTGATATAATTAAAATAACATGATTCTTCCCCAATAAATTGGCTTCCCTTCAAGTCTGACTACAACTGTCTATGATCTTTGATGTAAATTCATATCCAGTTGGTAACCGGCTGTTTTCCAATGTACATTCAAATTGATGACAGTATTTATGTGGTTTTTGAGGCATTTAACCTTGCTTCAGGTTTATTTCTTATAATAAAATGACTAATGCATGGTAACCAAGATCTGAGACTTATGACTTCTAAACTGGTTTTTCTGTAGTTTTTGAAACCGTGGTGCTCTTGCCCTGTATTCTATCTTGTTGGGGACTTGATTTGGGCCAGATCGAAGACCAGAACCTGATGTGCTTTCACAGGTATGCTTACAATGCAGGGTGCTTTCACAGGTATGCTTACAATGCAGGGTGCTTTCACAGGTATGCTTACAATGTGACGTGCTATCATAGGTGTGCTTACAGTGTGACATACTATCACAGCCATGCTTGCAATGGGACCTGCATTCACAGGCGTGCTTACAGTGTGATGTGCTTTCACAGGCGTCCTTACAGGGTGACGTGCTTTCACAGGCGTGCTTTCATGGGCCTCTAGTCTTGTATTTTGTTTGGATACTTATGGTTAAGGTTAGGGCTGAGTAAGAGTTAGGGTTATCATAGTTAGGATTAGGGTTATTCCGATAGAAATGAATAAAGAGTCCTTCCACAATGATAGGAATATATGAACTGTGTTTATGCGTGTGTGAATCCACGCTGAACCATTGTGAGCCAGTCCCGCCTCCTCAGCCCCTTCTGGTGGGACAAAGGCGGGGACATGTCAGCTGTTTAGAGCACTCAGGCTGTGTCCTGCTGGAGTGCAACAGTGTCTAAAAGCTTGTTGACCCATTATCACTGTGTGGGTTTTAGGAAAGAAGGGAGGAAGATTTGAGGTAACCAACGGTGTCGTTGTGTATACTGTAGATTTCTAATGCTGATTTAGAATGAGTGGCAGCTGTTAGATGAGTTTGCATACCATCAGCCTCTTTACTGTAAGTTGGGATTGTAATTAATGGTGTTTAACTTAGATTTATTCGATTGAATATCTTGGAATTTATGAATACTTCTTTGTCTATTGGAACAACAGTGTTTTATTCTGTTTAAATTTCTGTACAATACAATTAAGAGAGTCATTGTGTATTGCAGTGAAGTGAATCAGGGTGCATTGGGAATCTTGTGCAATGAAGAGGTGAGTCACAAAGGGATGCAGTGACGTGAAATGAGGTGCACTGGTAATCTTATGGGTTCCACTGAAATAAAGGTAGCTGATTATGAGAAAGACCTCGGTGTGTATGTTGATGCTTCCATGTCCTACTCTTGCCAGTGTGGGGAAGCAATAAAAACGGCCAGTAGAATGTTGGGTTACATCTCTAGGTGTGTGGAGTTTAAGTCAAGAGAGGTGATGCTACGATAATTCCTTGGTAAGACCCCAACTAGAATATTGTGTGCAGGTTTGGTCACCATACCTTAAAAAGGACATTGCTGACTTGGAAAGGGTGCAACATAGGGCTACAAGAATGATTCCTGATCTTAGAGGAATGTCTTATGAGGAGAGGTTAGCTGAGCTGAATCTGTTTAGCCTCGAGCAAAGAAGATTAAGGGGGGACATGATCTAGGTATATAAGATTCTAACAGGTCTGGATGCCAAATGGCTACTTCAATATTAGTTTAAATACTAGAACTCATGGCTATAAGTGGAAATTAGCGGGAGAACATTTTAAAATGAATTTGAGGAAGCACTTCTTTACACAGCATGTATTTAGAGTATGGAATAGTCTTCCTGCTAGTGTAGTGCAAGCTAAAACCCTGGGTTCCTTTAAATCAGAGTTACATAAGATTTTAATAACTCTGAGCTATTAGTTAAGTTCTCCCCAAATGAGCTTAATGGGTCGATTCGCCTCCTCTCATTTGTAAATTTCTTATGTTCTTTTGTTCTTATGCAGTGAAGATGCGAGTCACTGTGCTTTGCAGTAATGATGTACCAGTCGATCGGCTAGTCCCCGGAAATGGACGATTTTTGCCTTGATCTGTGCTGACCGGCAATCAGTCATTCTTGAACTAAAACCATAATCATATTTTATATCTAGGTTTATTAACATTACAACATACATTGCAAAAAGATCGTAATCTATGTTATTGATCATGATAATAACCAAAAATATCATGGTATGACATTTTGATCATATCGCCCAACCCTAGTCTGTGTCCCCCACCCCTCGCCTTCCCTCCCCTCACTAATATCATGTGACAGTGAGGTAAAACACCTATCATATCTGTTCGTTGGAGGTTCTTTGCAGTGTGGGACAAAGACATTAAATTTGCTGTGTGTACGACATGTGAACAAAAATCCCGTGTACTGTAGGACATTTGGAATTACCAAACTAATTCAACGCTTGTGGAGCAATTTTCATTTTGACAATTTAAAATATTTATTTAAAATATTTTGCTTGCAAATATTTTTTATTATGCAGTGAAGAGGCGAGTCATTGTTGTTTGCAGTGAAGTGAATCGGGGTGCATTGGGAATCTTATGCAGTGAAGAGGCAAGTCACTTGTTTGCAGTGGTGAGGTTACAAAAGATGTTCCACCCAGTGTTGGTGCACTGCCAGGAAGTGCAGCTCCAGCCCCTGCAGTGCAGGCGAGGCGATGGTGTCTCTGCACTGTTCTACCTGCCTTCTTTCATTCTGCCCATGGGGTTTTTAAATGACATGTTTGACAGTATTACTTAAAGGTACATCACTTCACTGGCATGTCCTCTGTGGCAACACGGGCGAAATCACACAGCAGATCAAAACAACAGCCTCTCTCGTTCCCTGCATATCTGCACAATCACCACTGCGGTCTGCCAGTTTATTAAATTTAGATAGAGACTGTCAGATCTGAGCATGTGAAACCTGCCCTGGTTCTCTCGAGGGTTTCCATAGTTAATCGATGTCTTTCTGCGACATTTAAGGCTTGTCAGTCTTTGTGACATGGTTGGTGTGTGGTGTCAGAAACTGAGATTGATTTTTATTTGTTTTCACTTTGCTGCAGTTTTTCCCCATACAGAGGGACTTGTATATAAAAATAAAAATAAAAACTTAAGCTGCTGATCTGTTTTCTTGTTATGCTGTAATATCAATGATGTTTAAATGTCAGATGCCAATTGGGACATTTTAGCACTGGTTACTTTTTGCCTCGAGTAGCAAGTAAACAGGATCTGCAGGGCTGGAAAATCCTGGGTTATTTTACTCTAGAGAAAAGCACTCATTTAGCTGCGGTCCATGTCTGCCCGTGGACCTAAAAATGCCTACGCGTGGTCTGCATCCCTCGCTTCGTAGCAGCAGCAACAAGGAGGGGAAGACACTCCGCATATCTGCAGTGCCAGCGCATCTGTCTTGGATCGACAGCAGCTGTACTTCTTGGTCTTTTGTTAAAGAAGAAATCGCAGCGCAGAGCTGGAAACTCGAGCTGCTGACTCGCTTGAGGTCCGGTTAGCTAGTGATCTTGTGGCTCGTCGTGGTACCGATTGCTAATATGATGTAAAATTTATTGTTATCAGGCTTTTCATCGTGTTTTCCCTCATTGACATGTAACCTGAAGTCTAATTTAACTCTCTTTGTGTTCACCTTAGGTGTCCACCTGAGGACGTTCTCTCACATGCTACCTGCACCTTCCCCTGACTGGAGATGTTTGTCTGTTCTACTCGTCTTCTAGACGTTGTACTCGCATCTGCTCCAGCTTGTACCAGAGAAACCTGCAGGAGAAATGATGGCCTCTCTCCTGACCTCTAGACTTTCTTGACCATCTTAGCACCCCAAGATGGAGGCTGCCTCAAACCAGAGCGCCCACTCCTGCCATTCCTGGGATTAGTCATCCAGAGCTCCGGCCCTCGGCCCACGATGCGGGGCCGGTCCGGTCGGGCCCATTGGAGATGCCCATAACGCAGGAGAATGCCCTGAGCCACCTTGTTCTGCTGGAGCACTGGCTGGCAGAGCAGGGGCCCGAAGGTGGGGCAGGGGATGGGGGGCCCCTGTGCCAGGCGGCAGTCCACAAGTTGGTGGCCTACATCCAGCTGAACTTTGCAGAGGGTGGGTGTGAGGGCGAGGGGCCACCAGCCGGGGCGGCGGACGCGGCAGAGGTGGCAGATGTAGAAGTGCACGCTGTCTGCCTCACCCGGCCGCCAGAGGGCGCTGAGGAGTTTGGCCTCAGCTTTGGGAACATCCCTATATTTGGCGACCCCGAGGGGAGGAAGAAGGGGAGCAGGCGGAGGCGCAGGAAGGGGGACAAGGGCCCTGTACTGGAGGTGGGCTGCATCTGGGTGACGGAGGTAAAGAAGAGGAGCCCTGCTGCCCTCTGCGGGGACATCCGGCTGCGGGACGAGGTGCTGTCACTCAACGGCCAGCTGATGGTGGGGGTGGACGACACTGGAGCCAGGTAGGACTCTTTATCTATCACTATTTCCCTTCTCTCTTCTCTCTCATTTTTTCCTGTCTTATCTTTTCTCTCTGCCTCTGTTTTTTCTCTCTTTCTCCACCTGTTTTTTCTCCATCTCTTCCTCCATCTTTTGTCCGTCTCTCTCAATCCTTCTCAGCCTGACTTCTCTCCCTCGCCACCTGTCATTTCTCTCTCCCTCCATCACAGCCGCTGTCTTTTCTCTCCATCTCCATCTGTCTTTTCTCCCTCTCCCTCCCCCCATCTCTGTCTCTCTTTTCTCCTCCTCTCTGACTGTCTTTACTCCCTCTCTTTCCCTGTCTCTCACAAATCCTCTGCTGGCCCTTCTGAATAGTAAGGATCTCTTAAGGACATCACCAGTGGAAAAGCACTAAGTGGTCTCTGGGGTGGTTTAACCTAAGCCAGCCGTCTTAACGCCACACACGCCTGATGTATTTGGTCCTCGGCTCAGATCGGGGTTCCTCATCGCTTCGGAAGGATCCGCATATTTCCTGTCTGTTCCCGGCTGACAGAATCTGGCCGCTGATGGACCAGAAAGTCTGAGGCATTCCCGTAGCAGTAGCTCTGTAGCAGGTGCTGGCATTCCACCGATTTCCGACGGTCTTTCCGTGTCTGGATCGTGTCCCACCGTAGAATCCCTGGCAGTGCAGCTGCCCCTCCGAGCTGCCAGGCCTCTGAGTCTCTGGGGGGGGGTGGGGATGGAGGAGGGGGCTGTCTTACAGCTGCCCAGCACTGCTCCTTCCTTGGTACTGCAGCTCTTTCTCCATCTCTGCTCTGGTTTGGGCCCTACATGGACATCGACCAGGCCACAGTCAAACAGGACAAAGGCAAGGTTTTGAATGACGGGACAAGTCTAACATACACATGGCTTCTCCTCTGGCTCTGCATGTGCTCAGCAGGGGCTTCTGTTTAATCCCTCCCAGCATCCTTTGCCCTAGTTTAAGTTGAATTCCAAATGGTTTTACGCTTCAGGCGAGATCGCGGGCTGTCAGCACACACTCCAGCATTAAATACCCCCAGTGGGTGATTTTACACCCGGTTTGTCATTTGGTGCCACCGTGGGAGGGTGGGGCCCCTGTACATGCTTCCCACGCTCCCCAACCGCCCCACCCATGCTGGGAATTCCTGATGGAAACTGTTGTGGTGCTGCTTCCCAGAGCCCTGGGCCACGTGGTGTGTGAGACCATCACCCGTCTACTCCCAAGGCATGTATTCAGATTTGACCAGTGCCTGCCTGTCAAATGGCGGCACTGGGGGGGGGGGGGGGGGGGTGTCTCTGGTGTCCCCGGCCCCACTAGGGAGAGATACGGCTGGACTTGACATTGGGTGTGGCCGCTATCCGCGGGGAGCAACATGAGATGCAACAGGCCCCTGTGGTTATGGTTTTGTGGTCTTTTAAATTTAGACTCCCCTCCCTCTCGTGCTTTTGAGGACTTGGGTTCTTAGGGACCGTCCCAAACGTTAAGCGCTAGGAGCCGGAGGGTCGTCCTCATGCCTTGTTGTGTTAGATGAGGTGTCTCAATGGGAAACTGACATGGGACAGAAGGTTGTGTGTTTGTAGACCTATTCTCTGATCTTCAAGGAGAGCAAGTCTCACCTAAGCTAAACCGCTACAAGCCGGTGTTTATCACTGCCTACTTCAGTTGTTTGCACGATCATTGTTATTTAGATGTTCGCTCAGATATGAGCCCATTTCCGGTGTGTCGCTTGATCCCTTTCTTGCAGAATCCAGTCCCAGTAGCTTGGTGATGGTGATACAGCTGTCACGATGAGCCAGGTTAGCATTGGGGCTAATATTACCGCGCTGCAGCTTGCGTGTGAATGAACAAACAGAGTATTTATGTGGGGGTGGACGGGTTCCTCTGGGGCTCTGCAGAATGGACAGCTGGGGGCTGGCCTCAGGGTCCTTTGGGCTCACGGTGTCCTGATTAGACCGCCGGCTACTTAACTGCTGGGGGGGATTCCTGTGGGGGGTGGGGGGGGGGGCAACATTAACAATCCAGCCGAATCGCATTGTTTTGGATGGGTGGGGGCACACTGAAGAAGCTGAGGGGGCTGTAAGCCCCCCCCCCCCCGCCCCGGCCTTAAATCCACCCCACACACCATGCAGGGTAGCAGAGGGTCACCAAAATTGTTGAGTTGAGTTTTTTGCAAAGCAGAAGACTTTTTGTCCTGTTTACTTATTCTGTTAAGTTTTTTTTCTGGTTTCCTTCACAAGTCTTAAAGCCCTGCTTAGATCATTCTGCTGCTACTGATGACTTTCATCCTCTGCATATCAAACAGACGGGTCAGTTTCTGAAAAAACGGGAACTTATTGGCTGGATTGCGCCTGTCCTTGATCCATTTTATCCTTATCTAGAATATTTTCGTATACAGCATGAGGTATTTTGCATTTGCATATAGGAAGGAGAAAGAATGCAGCTGAACAAGAAATTGGCAAGAGGCTTTGGTTAGTGGGCTTTTAATTAACAGTATAATTATTAAATTATCACTGAGCTACACATTAAGGTTGTTTTTTTTTTTATCACATCCTCGTGTTCAGAGCAGCCCTCCACGCTGTTTCTTCCCTCAGAAATTTCACTCAGCATCTGTCTGTGCCACACATGGACAGCAGGGATTTCCTCTGACAGAGGGCTTCATCGACAGCTAGCAGGAGACCACTACAGGGTATCGAATCAGCTTCAGTCATTGGTCTCCTTCCCTCAGGTTCAGCCAGGATGGTCAAAGCGTTTTTGAAGTTCAGTTAAATACACAGTTAAAGTTAAATACACGGGACGGTGGCTGTAATTGCGTTTTTTTTTTTTTGTGTTTTTATGACCGTTGATCTTTTTACCCAGTTAGGGAATTGCTGTTATCTTGTGACTTGCCCTCCCTGTGTAAAGATCTGTTAGCAGTTTCACAGAAGGGCCCATAAAGCGAATTGCCTTACAGTGCAGCCTGGACAGACTCTCGCGTATGTGGCCAGACCTTGGCTGTTTGCCTCTGACTTTGGCACCCAGGCGCCGCTGGAGTTGGGTTTAGAGGACGCAGAAGATCAGAAATGGTGGTTGATGCACCATTGATGCTCTGACTGTAAGGCCGGAGCCAGGCCACTGCGGGTTTTGGTTAGCGTTGGCAACAGCCTCAGAGCTGGGCCAGTTCTGTCTGAAGTGGAGCTTCCCAGAGACCTGAGAGTGAAGTGAGCACCCTGTGGATGAGGGGTGCAGCGTTCCCACACGGGTGTTACACTCCGACATAAAAACGCACATGGAGTGTGGTCGAGGGCCCTTAGGATGAAGCAAAGCGACTCTTTGAGCATATGATAATTTATGATCAGCTCTGCTTATTTGAGGATGATGGTTTCTGGCCTGGGTACGGCGAGGGGAAAATGCGGACCTCAGCAGAAAAGCCATGCGGAATCCTTGTCGTGGGGGGGGTGGATCGTGATATGGGCAGCTGCTCCATCTGGAACTCCACTGCTCCTAGAGAGGAGAAGGCGAAAGGGACAAGGGGTTTGTGTGGCTGTAGTTTGAGGCAGCCTGCTGAATGTGATCTGGGCATTAACCTTACCTTTTCATCACTGCTCCTGTGATTTAGAGCTGATTAGAATTAGGTGATCATTGTTGACACACCACAGCACAACAACGAAATGTGTCCTATGCATTTAACCCATATGTGACATCATTACATAGCAGGGGGCAGCTAATCCAGCACCTGGAGAGCAGTGCTTGGGGGTGGTACCTCCTTGCTCAGGGTACCTCAGTGGTGTCTTGCTGGTCGGGGATTCAAACCAACAATCTTTCAATTACAAGTGCGCTTCCCTAACCATTAAGCCACCTCTGCCCACAGTGATGGTCCCACAGTTTGGCCCCATACAGTTTAGTTGCCTTTAGTGCCCTGAAATCAGCACCGGCCAAAGGGAGTGTTACCGCTGGCGCCCCCTATCTGAGACTAAGTGAAATTGGCTTGCTAAGTTGGCGCTCCCTCAGGAAGTGGAGGCATAGGCAACTGTCTATGTTGCTGAATGGGGTGACTGGTAATGACAGTATGTCCCCCCCCCCCACACACACACACATACGGGCTGTTTGCGTTTACACTGAGTATTGTGGTGAAAGCACACATGCATTGCACAGATGGGGTGGTTATCTCCCCCCAGACACCCCACCGCCCCTCAAGCTTCCTTTTCCCAAAACCACCACACCGCACTACCTCAGCACTAAGCAGCCCAAAAATACACCCAGAAGGACCACCAGGAAAAACACCCCATAATATGCTCCCGAACCTCCAAACCGAGCCTAGCCGTGCCTGCCGACAGACAAGGATTCAACTCTGCTGCCTGAATTGGCTGCCTTATTGTCGGCTGGCTAAAGCTCTGCAGCGCAAAACATCTGTTCATGAACAAGTGATTACGGTGATTTAACGAAGTTTTCTAACGTTATTCGGGAAGGCAAAAGTCTGTGCGTACAGTATATGCACACAAATAAAGCGTTGAAAAGTGAAATTTGAGCCAGCCCAGGTTTGATGGAGGCCTGCTTCCAGAGGCTTCATTCTTTCAGCTGCAGGAATTTCTGGAACTGAGCCCAGTGTACGTGAAAAGCGCACATTTTGCAGTCGCGTGGGAGCGCCCCCGGCGGCATAGCAGGGTGCATAGGCGTGTCTCTGTAGGCAGTCTGCGCATACCTACCCCGGGACTGGCTCAGAAAGTGATACAAACGCAAAAAAACCAAGGAGCCTCACGTGGAAGCATATTTTGACAGTTTAATCTTTGTCCTCTGTGTTGCATTTGCTGGAGTAACATGTTAAAGGACACATTAAGTATTCATGTCATTCAACTGTTCTCCGTTATGGAACATTACATTTTGAGTGGTACGAAATTTAATTTTAGGGGTGGTGTAACAGTTTACATGTCAAAATAGTCAAAAAAGTAAAAAAAAATCATAATTAACACCAGAAATCTAAATATCATTCAAATGCTTGCCTATGCTATGCATTTTACTACAGAT